AGGGAAGATACCAGAACTGTGGGAGTGTGATTGTGTAGCTGCCTCCAGAATGTCCATCAAGAGCTGGATGAGCAGTGCCCAATTTCATGTTCAAATCAGTTCACTGCAGCCAAGTTTTAACTCACATTTCTTTCTGCCTGTGACCAGAGCCAAGAAATTTCCTTCTTCTCCACTCCCCAAGCTTCTCCCCCTTCACATCTCCCCCCCTTCTTTCAGGGCTTATTCACGCTTGTTCATCAAGTATTTGCAGGGGAACAGCTGTGCTGCTGATACAATCAGCCAGGCAGCGCAAGGTGACTCAGAGCTGGCAGGTCACAAAGAGGCAGCAAAGCACAAATAGCAAGTGCTTATTTAAAATTAGTTGTGGTCAATATATGGACTTAAAAAATTTACCCAAGACAATAGCTGGATAATTTCAGATAACGTGTACATCTGAGAAAATTGTTCTCTGTTGGTGGATATACTCTGAAGTCACATTGATCAAATGACTTATGAATTATTTATCCACCTGTGCTCTTTGCCTTAAAAACAGGCATTATTGATTTTGCTTCCTATATCATATTATGGAATCAAAATATAGGAAAAAATAATGCCATGACTCAAATGGCATGGAAGCGCCCCATCAATGTGCATTTATCTGTTCTATAATGCAGAAAGATGTAGAGGGGTGTAACAGCAAATTAGAAAGTGATTCTGCCTTCACTGGCATCTGCAAAACACTGTAAAGAGAATCTTCCTTTAGCTACAGAATGCAGTCTGGATTTTGAACAGCAGAACACCGCCATTTTGATTTAGATTCAAAGTGTAAGTATTCTACTCTCATATTGCTGCATCCAAAAAAAAGCCTCTATTTGTGTATATATCAAAATTGAGACTTAAATATTCAAGGTGAACAATAGCGAAATGGAGTAGTTACATTGCTGGAATAACAGAAATAGCCTGGGGAAGAATACTCAAACTTCAAATAGAATTTCCTGGGAAAAGCTGAGAATTTTGTTTCTTTTTTTACCACTGAACTATACAGAGAATGATAGGCTTCAGAAGGGGAAGAAACAACAATATCATAAAAATAACAACTTACAGTCAAGAAAAATAATAAATACTAAGTGCTTTGTTGTACACTTAAGTTATTCAAGTTAACAAACTTCTGTGGATTTTCTTCCCCTTCTTATTAATACATTATTACAACAAAAATATTGTGATCTAAGGTGGACAACACGAGCTCCTTTTTTAAGGCTAGGCACAAAATTACTCTTAAGCCCTTCAAACAGAAGAGCTAGGGATTTCCCATGGGTTCCTCAGTCCATTAATTTCCCTGTCATTCCTATCCAGTTTTTTCATATCTTCCTTGGACTTGGTGGCAACAGAATACTTGCAAGGCTCCAAAGTACCATTGTCAAAATAACAGATAACAAGGGCAAAGCTCAGCATCACCTTGTCCCAAATGATACCTGATCAGAAGATCTTATAAAAATCATGCATTTTACTTTTAGTTATGTGACTTCTTTTGACTTCAGAGAGAGTTGCAAAACCTCTGACAAATGCTTGAACTTTCTAATTTTAGTGGCTTTACACAGTAGAATTTGGGAATCATCACTCTGAAACTGCTTCCATCTCCGGTTATCAACACAACAGGCAAAATACAGTAAAACATTTATAGAAGTGTTAATCTATGGTTTCTTTCAAATATTTCCATTGCATTTCAAATTAATACCTTTTTTAATTCAAAGTGAGTCTCAATGGTGCTGAGGACTTCTCATTACATGACACCCTATCAAAATTTGCTATCTTCCTCTCATGTTCATGTGTTATGTAGATGAGTAACACAGCTACTGGTCTTCTAACATACTCACTACATGGAGAAAAACAGTGAAACATTTGGCAAGATGGTTTTTTCCATACCAGCTCATCTTAAAAACTCTACCTTTAAAATAAAATATTTATCTGCAATGAAGCTAACTGACTTCCTATGACTGTCCTGCCTTTAGCTACAGCCAGGGTTTATTAGGACGTCACTCTTAACACACAGTATTATAGAAGCTTTAAAAATAAACCATTTGGTGATGCATGGAGTTATGGCATCTATGGAGGGGAACATCTCTGCTTACAGGAAGCCTTTGATGAAATAATAATATGGGAGACAAACTGAGTACTTTTGTCCTCTATCCCCGTTCCCTGCTCTGGAGTAAAATCTATCCTATGTGGAAAAAAATCAATACATATATTTCTTCTTTCAAATCACTGCTGGCAAATTAGATCCACATTTCTTTGAGAGAAATTGCTTTAGTGAGAAGCCTCTCTATCAAAGGAGATTTCAAATACCTTGTGTTTCAATGTTTTTCATGTGTGCTTATATAATACATTTACTATGTAGGAAGAGTTATACTCTGTACTATATTTGTTGACATAATCTAGAGGTATCTTAGTAGCATATCTCATATTTTGAAAGATATTTTGACTACATGTGCTTATTTGGTACAGTTTGGGGACTTCAGATGTTGTATTTGACATATAAACAGCTATGAATGATGACCAAACTTTCAAACACGATATATAAAAAATTACATTTTCCACAGCCCTTGCTGATGGATGGTGGGGTATAAGAACCTCTAATGGAACTCACTGATACTTGAGAAGATGCAGGCACCTCAGTATGCAAAGATAGTAAAAGACTTAACTGTTGACTGAAATCGCCTTGTATAGAGAATACCTGGTTCTCTACCACGGCCTTAAAGCCACTTAGAAAGTGTCATAGTGACATAGCAGAGAAGCAGCAGAAATAATCAGGCCAGCCAAAGCTATATTCACATTACTCATAATGGGATCCCTCAGCACACAGACATTGAATTTCACAGGCATGGATGAGTAATTTAAAATTACTGTCCTGTTCAGCTGAACCCAGGACAATTAGTTATCATTTTGAATGTATTGTCCTGTGATGTGAGATCATTTTCAGTAGGTATGGGATTATGCAGCTATTACATTTAATAAGTTTACATCTTAGAAAAGCTTCTTTTTCTTCTGACAAGTGGGTAGGAAGGCACCGTGCAAGACAACCTAAGGGAAGCCTTAATTCTGCACATTTAGTGGCAAATTAGTCATAATAACAAGTTGCCCTAGAAACTTGAAATACAGCCTGAAGAAGAATTTACCACATATTTAATCATAAAATTCTTCTTTTCTTCCTATTGCCATGAAGAGCCACAGCTGAGCCTTGGTGATGGCATGCTATTCCCATCTACAATGCATCCCCACTTACTGAAAATGAGCATCTGCACTGACACTGAAGTGCAACCCCAGGCTTTGGTAGTTTGGGTTTAACGCATGAGATGAGAGGGAGGAGAAGGCTCAAATAATTTTGGAGCTCATTCAGTTGATCTGAAATTTTACCTGCTCATTGTTTTTCCAGGTGTTCATTTGGTAGATGATGGCTATTAGTCCCATGGTCTTTCCCCATAGTCCAGGGTCACTGAAAGGAATTTATTCAGAGAGGAGAGAATTAAGGCTCTTCATCCATAAGGAGAAGCTGCGAACAGACACCCCATCAACCGTTAATGGGCCCTGCAGAGGAGCAGGGAGTACAGCACAGTCAATTGGAGAAAAGTGGGTTCTAAAGGCTACATTGTACTCAAGGACCAAATTCTTAAAAGCAAGGGAAAGTGTAGAGGTAAGTGCCATGGTTTGGAGCTGCACTAAGTGGCCTGAGTAATTCTTGCTCACCAAAGGCTGTGAGAAGAGTTCATCACTGAAGTAGGTTGTCAGCACTTTCATTTCCATGCTCCTGCCTCTGTTTCAGCCCATGCTCCTTGGCTTCTCAGTTTTTTGCATTAATGACACTACCAGTATACAGTTACATTCAGCTTACTAGGAAAGCAGATAAGTTCAGTTATAGTTACATCATTAACAATCAACACGTTTTTATCCTGTGTCCATAAAGACCTGTCAAGGTAGGTACAGACTAAATTTCTTTACCTTATTTATAAAAGGTAAATATTAGTTTTCATTTTAATGTCAAACTAATAAAAGAATTAATATCCTTGGATAAAGAAATTCTCCACTGATGTCTCAGGCTGCAATGAAATTTTGCTGAAAGCCAATCTATTTCACACTGAGTTTTCTTAAAATTATTCCACATCAATTGGAGGCAGGAAAGATGAGTAAAAAGGCTGGCAAGATATTTGTGCTGTCTTCTATGGGGTGTACTGGGAACAACTTCTTGAACCATCAAATAATGTTTTACAGCTTCTGAGATTATATTACTTCTCCTTGTCAGTCACAAGTACAGGAAAAAAATAGAGCTCTAGTAAACAGAGATGATGGGGATTTACAGGGCCATTCAAATAATACATAAACAGGGATTGAAAGACTATATAGGCATATAACAATGTTTCAGAAAATGTTTTTAGATATTTAATAGTACGCCTAAATATTATTTACTGGCATCCCCCTAAGTATTCTGTTTATCTTTTCTGATACTTTGTCCTCTTTTTTTTTTTCTCTTTTAGGTGGTTTATTAATACAGTATTTGACAGAAGTCACACATCCTTCCCCTATCATTACATTGTTTTCTTTTACTTGGATATTATTATATTTCAATCTGTTTTGGAAAAATTGTTTTCAGCTTATCCTCCAGTTACCATAAGTGAGAAGATGCATTTAAATAATGACAAGTTGTGTAATATATGTTTATAGAAAAATCTGAACTCTCCTACAGTATATAGAGAGAATTATAATAATGGCACCCAGTTTTGGATAAAAAAGTTTCAGAGCGTTGTGAAAATAGGCTGCATAGCCAGAATGTGCCCCCATCCTCCAAAGGAGAAATAAAACCTGCCAGCCCAGTTTAATTGGTGGAGATGGAATTGCCTTAGAAAATCACTACTGTATCTTCTTAAGGACGTACATGTTGGAGTCTTGCTAATCCTTATCCACTCTGTCTCAGAAGCTGTGCAATGCTCACTCAGGTGTCCAGGAGGTACTTTGGCTTAGCTCAAGGCAAAGGGAGGCAAGGAGGTGCTTTGTCTATGTGGACATCTTTGGAGCACCTTTTGCTTCCTCTCCCATGAGCACTTTGTGCTTGTGGGCTGCATCATTTGTTGTGATCTTATTCCCTCTTAACAGGAAATTTCCTGGGCTGTACAGCCAGTATGTAAAACTGGTGTGCTATTGATAGGGACCTAGAAAGCGGGAAAGCAGTGGTGTTTCAAACTCATCTGCCACCCACCCCACCCTTTTTTATGGGGGCATGTTTTGTTAGTTTTGTTTTTTTTAATTCAGTACTGTCAAATGCTTTGCTTGAAAATAATTCCTGCAATATTCTGGATTCCCATTTGTTTGACAAATATGAGAAAATCAAAATTAAAGATATTTGCCATAGAATCAACTCCAGACACTAAATGTGAGCCACATCCAAAAGGACTGCTTTGTGTTCTGGAGAATTGTTTCCTAGTCAGAAAAAAATTGCCCATTTGGGGATGTTACAGGTGGCACATTAGAGATAACCATTCAGACCAGGTACAATAACAGAATCTCTGATGAGTATAAAAACATTTCTTTTTCCTAGTAGAAGTTAAAAAGAATCAATATCAAAAATCTTTGTAACTATGATTGCCTTTCCTGATAAGATCCAAGGTCTCTCCCACCCCACTTTGCGAAGCAAATTTCCCAGGCAGTCATGAGCCCATTGCCCCTCTGGCACAGTGCTGGCAGTGAAGATTTAAAGGATCTGCTTCTTCCACTGCCTTTTTCCCCAATATGTTTAATGAAATATCGTCATGTTTCCTTGTACCAGAACTGCTTCAAAGAAAGAACAGATTTATTTCAAAATCGAAGTGCAATCTAAGAGTCTAGTCTAGTGCATTAAACAGCAGCCTTCCATAAGGAAAGATTGCTGGCTTTTCATGGTTAATAAATTAATGGGGGGGGGGGGGGCAAGGAAAACAGAGGCACAGGTCTCAGTTCAGAAGGTTTAATCATGAATGATAACAAGGAATCAAAGGAGGAATCATCAGTAAGTAGGAAAATACACACCTACACAAGAAGTTCTGTTGCTGTAAGAAGTCTCAAATATTAAAAGGCCTGCCAAATTAAAAAAAAAATATATTCAAAAATTATTTGGTATAAGAGCAAGCTGCCAACTAAAGAAAATGCTCAACCAAATTTGTCTACACAGGGTCATTTTTCAAATGGTATTAGAATAGAAAAATTATAACACAAAGAAGTCTGTAATTTTAGCAGATGATTACTAACTGCCCTAATTAAGTGGCTTTAATTGACTCCATTGAAGTCAAGAGACAATGCCTACGTACATTGCTGCAAGACTCAGTAATCATAATTTCTGCAAAGTAACTTTTAAATGAGTTATCCTGCAGCTTTCATTATCTAGATGGCTGTTTTCTATCCCTGATTTACAGATCCCCAGGGGCTAGTGTGGCACTGAAGGTGACTAAGAAAAACATGTTTACTGTCAATACACTTTTCCTGGGAGCTTTGAAGGATCCCAAAATTGAGAAAGATAAAGAAGAGAAAGGGGGCAAAGGAAATACACTTTTTCTGCTTTATTATGTATTTCTAACTTTCTAAGCATTTTCAAAACATGGAAAGGTATCTTCTTGCTTTCCCCTGAAGAATTAATTTTGTTCTCCTTTCCTTAAAAGGAAAGACTATTAAGAAAAGAAAAATTAGGCACAAAACCAAAACATTTCAACATGTGCAACTGTTGCTCCTAAAACATACTTTATACTCCTTATAACTTTATCTAATCTCACTACTGAAAGTGGGCAACTTCAACTAAATTTTTTTTTTTTAGAGAGTCTGAATAATACAACTTCATCAAAAAACAAATTAACCTGTGGTGTCACTATTCAGCAAAACTTTTAATAACTGAAGACACAGCCCTATAGCAGGAAGCATTAAGGCCTCTTCTTTTGTTTTCTCATTTACCCCCATAACTCCTTCATTTAATCTTAAAATCTGGCAAAAGCCATTAGTCCCTGTTCCTCCCATGAAATCACTTTATGGATCTGCAGCCTGTTGCTTTACTGTCATTCCTTTCTTCTAAGCTGAATACGTTCAACTTTCCTGCAGTTAGACGTTATAAACCCTTCTCTCTTTTATTTGCACTCTTCCCAACTCTCTTATTTATCTTGTCTTGTTTTTCAGAAATATCGTGCTCGAAAGCTTAATGTAGCATTTTAAATGTTACCTTCCCAATTCAAAGGACTATATATTTTCCAATTACAGCTTGTGTTCTACAGGGAATCAAAAACTCAGAGTGGAGACCAGATCTAAAGTATAAAAGCCTTGTACTAGAGCAACTACTTTAAGAGTATTTTAACACAAATATATGAAAAAGCTGAATTAAAACCATGCGTATACATAAGTAGCTCAGTCACTTCTGAGTCTTTGAACATTTACCATGACTAGCTTAGGGGTTTTTTTAACTCAATACTTAATTTTTTGTACAGTTTCCCCTAACAAAAGAAAAATATATAATTTCTTCTATAATTTTTTCTCAGTTACTTCTTTAATACCTTTTCTCCATTTTTCCCTGAAGATATCCAAGAAAACAGTTGGTAGCCAATGTTCTATGGTAGGTTTCTTTTTTCCTCTTCTGAATAAATTGAGGAAATAATCTGGTCTACTTTTCCACCCTTGGAGAATCATAGAATGTTTTTCTGTTTAACTCCACAATGCTCATTTTCTTTATTATTTTCTTCTGTGGGGCAAAAGAAGCTCATTAAATTACAGTCACATTTCTTTAGATACTTCAATAAAATTCACATAGGTCAATACTGAGAATGCTGACACCATTTTCTCAGTTTTATTTACTGGTTCTGAGAAGCTAATGCAACAGTTACAGTCAGCTGTGAGATTGACAGTGCTGTTTTAAAAAGAAATAAAGAAATAAAAGTACTGTCCACATTTGGAATCAAGCTTTCAGGGGTGGTGTGCCTGTATATGACAAGTGTGAAGCTTTGCACCCATTTCCCTCCTTGCCTTATTTCTGCCAACTCAGCCTGGGGTGGACAGTAGGTAATACTTTCTTCAGCACAAGAAACTGCACAGAAAAGAAAAATACTAAAACTACAGGGAACAACAGTGCAGCACAATACTAAAAGAAGACGGAGACAGTCAGGAAAACTACTGAAGCAATGAAGACTTGCAACAACTGCAAGAAGGGATCAATAAATATAGGCAACATGTAGATATCTGTTTGAATTCTGCCAGTCCCATGGAAATTAATATAAAGTGACACTGGAAACAGTAACACTGCAGTTGAAAACAACTCTCCAGCTAGTCCAGCTAATATGGTGCTGAGTGGTTAAGACATCCTCTTGTAGACATTTTTTCCCCAAGACCTGTTGGAGAAGAGATAAATAGATACCTAAAGAGCAAAAAATTCACAAGTAGACATTGCAGCTTACCAGAATGCCCGTGGTTCTCACCTTGTTCACTATTATCTCACTACATTACTGCAGTTCCCTGGGGAACACAACTCAATGAACACCATCAGCACCCTAGAAGCATAAGAAGGGCCAGACAAGTTCCCTGAGGTTTTCCCCAGCTGCATCTACTGATAAGGGTCCAGGTGATGGTATTTAAGTAAATCTGTTGCCAGCTAAATTCTCCTTGAGCAGCCTTTAATACAGATTTAGCTGTGACAAGAAAGATAAGGTTAAGTCCATAAAAGGTAGTCTTGTGTCAAGTAAAAAAAAAAAACAGGAACACTGTATATATCAAAATACCCTCATAAAGCAAAGGGGAGAGGATTTGGCACAACATGGGAGCACTTTATACTCTTATAAACCTGATTATTAGTGAGAACCCTAGATTTTATTATGCCGCAGTTTGTACTGGTCCCTCTCCTGACTGCAAAGCAGCAGTTTGCACCACCTCGGTGTCTTGTCCAGCACATGGGCATGCAAATGTATACTCCCATTCCTCCAAGTGTCTAAGGAGCAAATACACTTCAAATATACTTCAAAGACTGGGTATTCAGTTTTACAAAGTTCACATTGTAGTAGGTGCCTTTACATTAGCCTCCTGGAGAGTATCAGGAGATTTGAGTTATTTCTGGTGGAGGACAAAAAGTTTTTAAAAGTTGTGATTTTTTTACAGTTCTTATGAGAACTGCCATGTAAAATTTATTTTACTCTTTGTGGGTTTTTTGTTTATGATTTTCAAACATTTGTTCACTTAGTTGTTTATTTAAGGAAATAGTAATATTTATCTTCGGTGTCTTTGTTTGGAGGTGTGGGCACTGGATTGTAGATAGTTTCGTCATATTGCAGACTGTGACAAACTAAAAAGTCTCAGGTTCCTGCAGGATTTAGAAGTTGCCAGCAGAGGCTGGAAACAGTGAAAGGCTCTGCCCAGAGCTAACATGCATGAAATATCATATGTGGGAAGGAGAACACAGTGCTGCAGAAACCCAGTAAAGAGGTAACATCTGTGGAGGATCCCTTTGCCTGGAAAATTAAGAGGTTGTATGCCCCATAATATGCCTTCCAAAATCTTTATACAAGACCTTCTTGAAGGAATAATAAATCGCCTTAGTCGATGAGGAATGGGTTAGAGACCAGTTGAGCAATCTGGACATCCATAAATCCATGGGTCCAGATGGGATGCACCTGCGAGTGCTGAGGGAACTGGCGGAAGTCATTGCTAGACCACTCTCCATCATCTTTACCAAGTCTTGGGAAACGGGAGAGGTGCCTGAGGACTGGAGGAAAGCAAATGTCACTCCAGTCTTCAAAAAGGGCAAGACGGAGGACCCGGGTAACTATAGACCGGTCAGCCTCACCTCCATCCCTGGGAAAGTGATGGAACACTGTCGTGGTTTAAACCCAGTCAGGTAACTCATTCACTCACTCCCCCCCTTTCTTTCCCTCCCCCTACTCCCGGAGGGATGGAGAGGAGAATCGAAAAGAATGCAACTCCCACGGGTTGAGATAAGAACAGTTTAGTAACTAAGGTATAACACAAATCACTACTGCTACCACCAATGATAATAATGATAAAGGAAATAACAAGGGAAGAGAATACAACACCTCAGCACCAGCTGACCGATAACTTGCCCCCCCCAGCCCGACCAAGCACCGACCGATACCTCCTCCAACCCTGCAGTCTCCTAGCCCTTCCGGCTAACTCCCAGTTACATCCAGGGCATGACGTGCTGTGGTATGGAATACCTCTTTGGTCAGTTTGGGTCAGGTGTTCTGTCTCTGCTTCCTCCTGGCTTCCCCTCCTCCCTGGCAGAGCATGAGGCTCACAAAGTCCTTGGCCAAACCAAAACATCACTATCAGCTCTGTTCCCAGGCCGAAAGTCAAAACACTGCACTGCACCAGCTACCAAGAAGGAGAAAAATGACTGCTACTGCTGAACCCAGGACATTATCTACCCCTTATTCCATACCATTCACGTCATGCTCAGATCCCACATTTTCAATATACCATCACTCTTATCTAAGTGCATGGAGCAGTAGCTATAAAGCTGCTGCGTCCATCGGGTCCATGATGTCAGGCTTCATCTCTTGTAACAGTCTTCCAGAGCAGGAGAGACTGTGTGCAGTGTTCACACTCATGAATAACCTGGGCAATAGTGTCTATTGCTAAGTCCACCCCTCGATCATGAGTCCATCTCTGTGTTGCATCTCTGCTCTGATGGCCTGAAGTGCCATGGGCCCACCAGGCTTAAAATAATTCACTGTCCCCTTCAGCAGTTTCTGCAGCTTGCTGCTGGGGACTCCACACAGCTGCCTTCCATCTCTGACGCTTCCAAAGCACTGGAGGGGCCCAGTGGACTAGATACTTGCCCATACTGTCCCACACACCCTGCCACTCCTGGCTGTCCAGCCTTGGGGAGAACCTCTTGGTCCCCCTGCATCGTCGTCTAACCCCAGACAAGACCCAAACCTGACTCTGCTTAACTTTTGAGATCCGACAAAATGGCGGTGGGTAAAACACAGCCTGTGTGTGCCAACATGCTGATCCCCATCACAATCAGCAGGCAGGTCCCAAGGATACCCAAAGGCCATTCAAAACCTTCAGAACTCTCAGTTGATGCTGCTGTACTTGTCACTGGGGCTGGTGTAGCTGCTGTGCTTGCCGGCTCTCCCACCACCGGCTTCTCTTTTCCTGAGTCCAGCTCTTCCTCCTCTGCCCTGCTGGGAAATGCTGCGTGGTCTCCTGCATCCTCCTGGGGCTCGGCTCCTCCGCTGCCTTCTCCCGCTGCTCGGCAGCCGCCTCCTTCCGCTCCTCGACCGCCCCGACCTCCTCCACCGGCAGCCGTCCCCTCGCGGCCTCTGGCTCCGCTCCCGCCGCCGCTTGGTGCCCGGGGCCGCTCTCCTGAGCCGCTTCGGCTGCCGCCGGCTCCCGAGGCCGCTCCCCCTCGGCTCCCCGCAGCCTCACGAAGATGGAGAGTAGGGTGAGGGCCAGGACGGTGAAGAGCAGCCGGACGACCAGGTACAAGTCCACGGCCGCGTCCGTCCCGCCCTGCTGCTGGAGCCCACCCGTACTACAAGCCATTGCCATAAAGCACAGTGAGACAAGAACCTTAGCCCAGGCCCCACACTTGATAAACACTAACACAGCAAATACCGGCTCTACCTAAGTTACAACATTCTGAAGCTGTGAGATCAAGAGAAACAACTCTGAGAGCCAATAAATCAGCATTGTGATGAGTGACTATTAATCTGGTCAGATCTGTCGTTATCTCAACCCTTCGTGCCCCACGTTGGGCGCCAAAAAGAACTGTCGTGGTTTAAACCCAGTCAGGTAACTCATTCACTCACTCCCCCCCTTTCTTTCCCTCCCCCTGCTCCCGGAGGGACGGAGAGGAGAATCGAAAAGAATGCAACTCCCACGGGTTGAGATAAGAACAGTTTAGTAACTAAGGTATAACACAAATCACTATTGCTACCACCAATGATAATAATGATAAAGGAAATAACAAGGGAAGAGAATACAACACCTCAGCACCAGCTGACCGATAACTTGGCCCCCCCAGCCCGACCAAGCACCAACCAATACCTCCTCCAACCCTGCAGTCTCCCAGCCCTTCCGGCTAACTCCCAGTTACATCCAGGGCATGACGTGCTGTGGTATGGAATACCTCTTTGGTCAGTTTGGGTCAGGTGTCCTGTCTCTGCTTCCTCCTGGCTTCCCCTCCTCCCTGGCAGAGCATGAGGCTCACAAAGTCCTTGGCCAAACCAAAACATCACTATCAGCTCTGTTCCCAGGCCGAAAGTCAAAACACTGCACTGCACCAGCTACCAAGAAGGAGTATCCTTGGTGCCATCTTAAGGCATATCAAAGATAAGAGGCATATCAAGGATAAGAAGGTTATGAGGGGCAGTCAACATGGCTTCACCAAGGGGAAATCATGTTTGACCAATCTCTTAGCCTTTTATGAGGAAATAACATGGTGGATGGATGATGGCAGAGCGGTGGATGTGGTCTACCTTGACTTCAGCAAAGCATTTGACACAGTCTCCCACAGCATCCTCACAGCTAAATTGAGGGAGTGTGGTCTGGATGATCAGGTAGTGAGGTGGACTGTGAACTGGCTGAAGGAGAGAAGCCAGAGAGTTGTAGTCTATGGGGCGGAGTCTAGTTGGAGGCCTGTAACTAGTGGAGTGCCTCAGGGGTCAGTACTGGGACCGGTATTATTTAATATATTCATCAATGATTTAGATGAGGGAATTGAGTGTACTATCAGCAAGTTTGCTGATGACACTAAGCTGGGAGGAGTGGCTGACACGCCAGAAGGCTGTGCTGCCATCCAGCGAGACCTGGACAGGCTGGAGAGTTGGGCAGGGAATAAATTGATGAAATATAACAAGGGAAAGTGTAGAGTCCTGCATCTGGGCAGGAACAACCCCAGGTTCCAGTATAGGTTGGGGAACGACCTGTTAGAGAGCAGTGTAGGGGAGAGGGACCTGGGGGTCCTAGTGGACGACAGGATGACCATGAGCCAACACTGTGCCCTTGTGGCCAAGAAGGCCAATGGCATCCTGGGGTGTATTAGAAGGGGGGTGGTTAGTAGATCGAGAGAGGTCCTCCTTCCCCTCTACTCTGCCCTGGTGAGACTGCATCTGGAATATTGTGTCCAGTTCTGGGCCCCTCAGCTCAAGAAGGACAGGGACCTGCTGGAGAGAGTCCAGAGCAGGTCAACAAAGATGATTAAGGGAGTGGAGCATCTCCCTTATGAGGAAAGACTGAGGGAGCTGGGTCTCTATAGTTTGGAGACGAGGAGACTGAGGGTGACCTTATTAGTGTCTATAAATATATAAAGGGGGAGTGTCACGAGGATGGAGCCAGGCTCTACTCAGTGGCAAACAATGATAGGACAAGGGGTAATGGGTACAAACTGGAACACAAGAGGTTCCACTTAAACTTGAGAAGAAACTTCTCAGTGAGGGTGACAGAACACTGGAACAGGCTGCCCAGGGAGGTTGTGGAGTCTCCTTCCCTGGAGACATTCAAAACCCGCCTGGACACATTCCTGTGTAACATTATCTAGGTGTTCCTGCTCCGGCACAGGAATTGGACTAGATGATCTTTCGAGGTCCCTTCCAATCTCTAGCATACTGTGATACTGTGAATATTGAAAGTGCCACATGCCTGAAAAGTTATATTGATTTAACATCAGAAA